AAGTGAAAACTAACTTTTAGACTGTAAGTGTAGATGATGTTTTGATAAGTACGTTACATAGTTTGTGCTCATAAATAGGTACTCTCTGAAAACAAAAACAATCTAACTCTTCTTTCTAAATAGTACTAAGGCCCCGATCCTGCAAACCTGTGGGCAGGTGCTTAACTTCACTCATGTGAGTAAGCCCGCTGAAGTCACATGTCTATGTAACTGTGGGTGTTCTCATTATCCATATAAATGTCTAATCCAGGAGTCAGCAACCTTTCAGAAGTGATGTGCCGAGTCTTCATTTATTCACTCTAATTTAAGGTCTCGCGTGCCAGTAATACACTTTAACCTTTTTAGAAGGTCTCTTTCTATAAGTCTATAATATCTAACTAAACTGTTGTTGTATGTAAATTAAATAAGATTTCAAAATGTTTAAGAAGCTTCATTTAAAATTAAAATAAAATGCAGAGCCCCCTGGACTGGTGGCCAGGACCCAGGCAGTGTGAGTGCCACTCAAAATCAGCTCGTGTGCCGCCTTCGGCACACGTGACATAGGTTGCCTACCCTTGGTCTAATCCTTTGTGTTCTGGTAGGCTTTTGGACTCAGTGCTAACTTCTGGCAGTGAGAATCACAAGTTAATTGTATTGTGTGGTGGTTTTCTTTTTAAATTAAATGTATTTACATTTGGTCAACTAAATTGGCTGTCACCTCACTCATGTATTATATGAGGAAAAATAGGAGAATCCAACTTAAGTTGTCCTATCCCATTCATTACATTGTAAACCTGTAATTTTTGATACTTCTATGATTTAAAAAAATTAACAGACTTTTTCAAATAGCTTGAAGAATATTAGTTTGGAGATTCCAGGCCAGACCCCTCACTTGCCTCTGCACACCATCACTGCTTGATGACATTGTATTATCCCTGAGAGAGGGGCCCATAAGAAACACTGTTGTCTATGGAGGTGTCTGGGATGCCTGTTGAGTTACGGTTGTCATCCTCTTGCTGCTGGAGAGCAGTTAGGGTGGCTCTTTAATGATTCATTGTCATTTAATATATTGCTTTTGCTTGTTAACAGAAGAGGCTGTACTTTAGATCTTTAAAACAAAGTCTATGGAAAATGAGGTAACTGTTTTTTATAGGCCTCTCTCCACACTTTGGTGAGGTGCAATCATGGCAGAACATAGTATATAAAGGCAGATAAATTTTGCCTTTGTGTAGCCCCACGTGGACTTCCACCGCATCACATAAACACATAAGCAGGAAAACATTCCTGCTATTCTACTCCAAAGGTCATGGTTCGAATGTTGAGGTATACAAGACAAGCCAATTTTTGTGAAGAAACCGCATATCATGCCTTTCTTTCTCTATTCTCTCTGAGGCCTGGTCTACACTGGGGGGGAATCGATCTAAGTTACGCAACTTCAGCTATGTGAATAATGTAGCTGAAGTCAATGTACTTAGCTCTACTTACCGCGGTGTCTTCACTGTGGTAAGTCTACGGCTGACGCTCCCCCGTCGACTCTGCCTGCGCCTCTCACTCCGGTGGAGTACCAGAGTCGACAGGAGAGCGCTCGTTGGTCGATTTATCGCGTCTAGACTAGACGCGATATATCGACCCCCGCTGGATCGATTGCTGCCCATGGATCCAGCCAGTAATGTAGACAAGCCATTAGTCCTTATTCTCTTGCTTTTCATAATCACATAGTCACCTCAAAAGGAGTAGTAAAAAAAAACAAATGGCCACTTCAGGACTTCATTTTACTAAACAGTGAAGAATACTTAGACATCAAGAAGAGAACTCAAAAACCATGTCTTTTTGCTACTGTGTTCCCATTAGGGGGCAATGTATTCTTTTGTTACTCTAAATCTAGAAGAAAACACATTATGCTTGTGCTCCATTGACATGGGAGAATTATTTTTATATTTTAAAATAGCATCGTAGAAAATTTTTCATTTAAAAAAAAAAAAAAATCCAGCATAAGCATTGCTCATTTTTGCCTATCTTAGACTGAATATCCTGCATCGTATTTATATAGAACAGAAGTAGGTAGTAAGATTAATGTCTCCTAGATCCATCACAAACAAACTAAGATTTTGTGTTTCATAAAGCTTTTGGTAACAAAATTTTTTCTTTTCCAATTAATACTACAATACAACACGTACTAATTTCACAAACATATAGCCAGAACATACAAATAATAAACCCTCTGGTGCTAGATTTTGATGTTTGACCAATTCATTTTATGTTAAATGTAAGCTTGGAAAATAGTCAATATGGGAACAAAGAGTTAATTACTCTGAGCACATTTCTGCCTCGTTGCTCCTTTCTGTTTGAAGCAAGGAGCAGTTTAGTGTAAATTATCATGTTTTCTATTTTTTTTCCTTGGAGAAGGGAGGAAACCAATAGTTTTGTGGTGTTCATTTAAATAAAAAGAAATCAGTATAATTTTCTGAAAGATCAGTATATTCTCAGGGTGTTGAGAAATCTGTCAACAAAACATTTTGTTATAATTTCTTGCTAGGAGAAATGAGGATTTATTTTGTCCTCGTTGACTGATTTTATTCAGAAAGCAGGTGACAGCAATCAGTTCCAGTGTCATCTACGTCTTCAATTATTTTACAAACCCCGGGAACTAATTACAGCCCTCAGGCTTCGGCAGAGTCAGCTGACTGTAGCATAAGACTTTTTTGGCCACCAAATACCTCTGAGTAATTGTCTATTTGTGGGAAATAAATTAATAGCTACTATTTTTATTTAAATATGGAGACCTGTAGATGTGTGTGCAGGTGGAATGAGTACGTGATGGGGGTTGCAGAAAGAGAAGGAAAGGAGAGACATTAAACATGAAGCAAGAGAAAGAAGTAAAAGATTTGAGGAGAAAATGGGAGAGAGGATTGAGCAAAAAGGAAAAATTGAAGGGAAGTAGAGGAAGAGAGAGTGAAAATAAGAAGGAACCATTATTTAACTTTACAGAAAAATTAGAGTGGGGCAGACACTGAAACAGACACAGCAGAAGACACCAATATAGTGTAAAATGAAAGAAAATATGTAGTGAAGAAAGGGAAAAGGAAAAACTGAGCCAAATTATGGGAAACCTAGAAGGTTCATTTTTTAAAAATAGGACTTTCATATCAAAACATTACAGTAGAATAGCATATACATTTTCACTAGGGATGTAACTGTACAATAAACATACAAGGAGTAATTGAAAGCGCTTCCCGGGGTCTCAAAACCTGCAAAATGTAAAAATTAGGGACCACTCTGAAGATGGTGTCTGCACTGATTGTGACTGCCAGCCTAAGTTACATAACAAAGAGGAAATCTGAAAAAAGAGCAGATGTATGTAGTCCAAGTGAATAGTTATCCGTAATTCATGAATATATTAGTTTGTTTCTATGGACCAATTGTACAATTCGCATCTATGTGGCAATAATCACATTTAATATATGATTCTGTAATAACTTACATTAATAGTATAATCGCGCCTTTTGTTCAAAAGGATTTAAAAAGTATTTTGAAAATAATCATATATATATCCAGGGCCCTTGAAATACAGCCACATCTGGGTTGGAGGGTGATGACAAACTGCACAACGCATTGCAGAAAGGATATGTGGGCAAAATAGTGTTCTTAAGAAAAATACCATGCTATCTGTAATGTCAATGCAAAGTAGGCAGAAACTCTGTTTTTAAAGTCTTATCCAAAAGATGACTGCATAATAAACTTGTGGCACTAAAAGTTTCTACCCCCAAAAGATGAAGGGCTGGAATCTGAACCTTTGATTCCAGCAACTTTAGGAATTTTAAACCTTAGACATATGGAACACAAAAAGAGTACTTCAGATATGAGACAAACAAGTGAGAGCACGGTGTCACTGTTTTGAATTGGGGCTATATCCATGCAACTCATAAATTCTGATTGATATTGTGAAGTTGTATAATGAAAATCTTGTGTGTCACGAGTAACCACCAGCAACAACGCACAATAAGGGTAACATTACTGCAACCCCCCCTACAATATCCTTGAGACACCCCCCCCATCCCATGACACCCTTTAGAGTTGGGACCCCCACAGTTACAACACCGTGAAATTTCAGATTTAAATATCTGAAACCCCCGTGACATTTACGATTTTTAAAATCCTATGACTGTGAAATTGACCAAAATGAACCGTGAATTTGGTAGGGCCCTAATTATACCCCCTGAATAGTTAGTTCTGTTGATAAATATAAGGGCAGAGCAGTGAGCGCTCTGGCTGTGGGCTCCTACCGTACGCCAGGCTCCAGCTGCTGGTCCTGGCCAGGCTGGTGAGGGATGGGACTTCCTCTTCCCCTGCAGAAGCCGCTCCTGGGGCTGGGTAAGACCCACCTCCAGGAACCTCCCCCGGCAGCAGGGAGCTTTGCGGCCGCTAGCTGGGAGCCCAGCTCTAAAGGCAGCATCACTGCCAGCAGCAGTGCAGAAATAAGGATGTCGTGGTATTGCCACCTTTACTTCTGTGCTGCTGCTGGCTGCGGCACTGCCTTCAGAGCTGGGCGGCCAGCCAGCATATGCCACTCTCCAGCCATCCAGCTCTGAAGGCAGCACAGAAGTAAAGGTGGCAATACCATGACTCCCTACAATAGCTTTGCGACCCCCTCCCCCCCACAACCTTGTTTTGGATTGGGACCCCCAGTTTGAGAAATGCTGGTCTCCCCTATTAAATCTGTATAGTATAGGGTAAAAGTACACAAAAGACCAGATTTCACAAGGGAGACCAGGTTTCATGGTCCGTGACGTGTTTTTCACAGTCATAAATTTGGTAGGGCCCTAGTATAATCCCTGGGTTTCGAAGCACAGGGGAAGTTATGAGAGAGAGGATCTTGTAGACCTGTCATTAGAGCATCATTTATAACATTCTAAAAGATATCAGGTTTTGTAGACGGCTTAGGAAATAAATGGTGGCAAACTGATATAAAATATTTTAGATATATTTAACAAAATTATCTTTTTTTCCCCCCACCAATTCAGATCAGCTGTTCCATGTTTTGGCCATGCACATGCGGCTTTACAGCATTGACTCTGCGTACAACCCATGGAGAAAACTAACACAGCTAATGCAGGATAGGAATTCACAGTAAGTATTTTTAAATACCCAACATCAGTATAGTTCTGTGGACAGAATGAGTTTCAACTTTCTGAAGCTAAAAATCTTTACTTGTCAACAATCTGAATTGCCAAGCATGTAAGATACAAAACTTAATGTCTAACACACAGTGTATTTCTTTGCGGAGAAGAATTTTCAAATCTGTTTTATACAAAATATTAGAGATTCATATTTGTGATTTAAAGTAATACTGTTAAGCCAAGTAGGCCCAACATTAAGGATGGTAGGAAATTGGGCTTGTAATTTTCTGTACATTTTGATCTTTTAACTTATATAGCCAGGGACAATGGAAGCAACTCTTTTTGTCACACTTTATGTTAAGATTCCATTTATAAATGGTTTATAAAGAGTTAAATGATTAAAAGATGTTATAAGAATGTTACTGACATAAATAGTATATGTCAAAATGGTTATAGGCTAGAATGTGTCATAGTTTATTATAAGCAGTTTATTGATCTCTTGGACTTTATAACAATTGATTAACCATATATTAAAACATCTATAAATCACTTATTAACCCTTTTGAAACTATTTCTAAATGGAATTTTGATATAAAATGTGACCGCTTTTTCTTTGAGGTACTTTATCCTAATTTCTCTTTTATTCTTTTATACTTACTTCCTTCACATTGGTCTTGTGGTTATCCTCATGAGAGTGCCTGAATCCAATAGTAAAAGTTGTCTGAATATTTATTTAAAAGAAAAATATATAATTAAATGAATGGAAAATCCCCAGATACCCAGCAATAAAGACCATGCATTGTGGAACAGTATGGAGGAAAGCATGGAGGTTGTGTGCGTGCAAAGATGACAAATAACCAAATGGTGGAGGAGGTGGAGAGGAAATCACTCCGAGACAAGCAGGAAGGGGAAAGAGTCGTGAATGATCCTGGTCTGAATTAACGAGAGTTTGTTGTTCTTTTGGGCACACTGCAAGGCCTACTTTTTCTCCCTGGCTTTTGGGAGGGTAGAGGTGTGAAAAACTGGGTAATAGGGAGATCTGTGAGAAGACCAAGAAAAAAATCTATGCTAAAATATTGTTCTTTATTAGAACAATTAAGGTAATCTGTTCAGTTATGTGTATTATATTCAAGGGCATCCAGAGCTTTGAATTGATGCTCTTTTTTGTGTGGCAGTAAAATCTGGATATCTCCTCTTTGTGGAGACTCATCTTTCTGCTGTTCCTCAATCTCTCTGCCTTGTCACCTCTTTTTAATGAGCGGGGATATGAAAGGTCTGCTGAGAGTGGTGGGAAAGGCTAGGTTCTCCCTCCTTTGAAACCACATTGTTTCTTGATCCCCTCTAAGGGAGCAGCTAGTATTACCAGAAGGATGCTGAGTCCCTCCTCCTCTGCACACCGAGCACTGTCCTCATAGATGAGCTGCTCCCCTGTGGCCATATTGGATATGTCTACACAGCTTGCAGCATGAGCCTTGAAGCCCAGATCGACAGCCTTGGGTTTACGGAGCCTGTGCTAGTGCACTAAAAATAGCTGTGTAGATGTTGCTGCTTGGGCTCTGAAGCCTAGTGAAGGGGTTGGGCTTCAAAGCCCGAGCTGCAACATAAAAGTGCTGTTTACATGGCTATTTTTAATGTGGTAGCATGAGCCTGAGTCTTTCAACCTGGGCTTGGAGGCATGCTGCCACTGGCTCTGTCAGCATGCCCATTGACAGTTCTGCAGTCTGAGTGCTTCTCCCCTCTCCCTATTGCTAAAGATTGGTCTAAGAGCTTCCAGTAAATTGAGGACTGGTGGATGAATGGCTAGTGGGCCTTCAAAACTGATCTTGGATGACTGTGGCAGGGGCTGTTAGAATTTATGATATTTAGGAAAAATCACTGTAATGACCAGGCCTGCTTCTAGTTAAGCATTTGCTGCCTTTTCTCTTGGATATGGACCTGGTTACAGTAAAACACACCTGGGTGTGATATCAGGATTGGATTAGTGCAACGTGCTCTGCATGAAGAACACTTGAAAGTTACCTTTCTAAAGTTTTCTCCATATATTATGATTTCCATACTGATCTCTACAAGCCGTCATTGGTCAGCCAGGGATAGCCTATCCCCCTGTGAAAGGCATTTTGGGTACTGCTTGTGCATAATTTCATAATATTAAAGTTTAACAATGGGAAACACAAAGGAAGGATTACCTATGTCTGTGGAGTGGTATTAGGGGAGAAGAGGGAGATTTGGCTGTGAGTGGCTACTGAGATTTTTTTTTTTTTTTTATTTGAGCTTTTGAATCAATTGAAAGATTTCATATCTATGTGATGTAGCAAACAAGTCCCATGGAACCTGTACAGGTTTACACAGAGCCTGTTTATGGAACTTAGAGCCCTTAGTGATTATGGAGCTATGGGCCACACTAGATACTGTGCTCAAAAACCTCTGAGATAAGTAGTTACAGATGCAGCTGGTGGTATAATAGGTTTCTTACTTCTGAAACTGATGTTTCCTGGTTTTCTAAATATTTACTGTAATTAGTGCTGACAGGTTCAGGTTTTCCAAGTGTTCTTGTACCCATTCTTTATCTATTTTGCAAAGTGAACAGCCATACAAGAGGAACTCTGCCTTGATTACTCCATTGTACTACATATGTAGAATTCCAGGTGTTGGTTTTAACCTATAAAGCCCTAAGTGGTTCAGGACCTGTTTACCCGAGGGAGAGCCTTTCTCATCATGCCATATTACCACAGTTCAGATCAGCAGAGGAACTCAAGCTGGAGCTCCCTCAGTAGAAACGAGAGGGAGCTGCTGGCTGGGCATTCTGTGAAGGTTCCTCAGTTTTGCGCTGTTACCTGCCTTGGTCCTCCGGAGCTCAGATTGGTAACCTATTGAGCACACTGCAGAGTCCATCTTTTTTCTTCTCTATAGCTGTTGAGGAAAGGGTGGCAAAGGAGGATATAGTTGCAGCCAGTCTTTTTGCATTATTTTGTGATTTTAATTTGTAGAGTAAGCACCCAGAGCACAGTTTGAGCTCCTGTAATTACACTTTTGGAATTTGAAGAAATAAATAAAATCTTGGAGTGAACTATGACGTATTGAGCATGTGTGATTTGAAGCTGCTTCAAAATTCACGGGATCTTTTTAAAGTGCATCTTTTTCAGATACAGTTGTAAGAACTCAGCATAATGAGAAGGTGATTTACTACAACTCTTGCCAATAACCTGCAGAAGGTTAGAAGGTTGATGGAGAAATATCAGTGCAGGCTTAGGAAATGGATTGTACTCTGTCATTTTGAGTCTAACTAAGCATTTTAGTAATTTAAATCATCATCTTTCCCAGGTCAGGACTCTCCCAGTAGGAGAATATCTGTCAATAAAAGAAAAAGATCCAAATAGCCTCACTTGCTTATTCTGATTGCAAACAGCATAATGAGAAAGTCCCAACAGCTAAACAACTTTTGACTGAACATCACTAATGTGTTCACTTGTGCTACCTCTAATCTTCAGACAAAAACCAACACTAGCAAAACCTGTTCTGTGTCAGAAGAGTACTGTTCATCCAGGTTCTTTGTTTTGTAAAAAAAACAAAACTTCTTAGTAATATTCTGGATTTGTTCTATCTCATTTTTACTTTAAATTAACATTTTAATTGAAAACAGTTTTCATAAGGAGATTAGTTGCATAACTATATCCTTAATAAAAGGTTTTTTCATTTTCAGCTTTGTAAATAATCTACAAAACACAAGCAACATTGCATTGTATTTTTGCAGCTCTTATATAATGTTAATAACTTTCTCTATATAAATACAAATTTAGATCTAAAATCTCCTGACTCTAGATCTCACACTTTAAGCTTGGTTTTCCTCTACACAACTGACACTAATTTGTATATCAGGCTGGAGATTTTATGCGAAATGTATAGGAAAATTAAATCAAAATAATACTTAAAAAAAAATGTCAGTGTTGCTAACAGCCCCAATCTATGCCAAGATCTGCCTCCATAATTGGTGAGGGATCTGGGTACCTGAGAGATTGCCTCCATTCTTGGGTGATGCCTCATTGAGTGCTTGAATGAACAGTCCTCTTGTTTAATCAGAAGCAGGATAGCATCAGGGAATTTTTGGTCAGGAATTCATGACTCTGGAACTTTCTTCCACCAGCTACTTGGTCTGCCAGAGCTCAGACTTGTTGAACTTCAGGATACACACAGCAGTACTCAGTTGCTTTTACTGACTTTTCCTGTAGAAAGGAAGCATCTGATTGGGGTGTAGGTTTGGATGGAGAGGTGATTTATTGTGCAGGAAGGAATAAGGAGAAATTTATAGTCTTTTTTTTTTTTTTTTTTTTCCCCCACACCCGCAGTTGCCTTGTTTGTAACTCTCTTGTACAGATCATTGGATGCAACTTTATCCATGTAAATAACCCTAGGCAATTTAGGAAGGGGTTAATATGATGTCACATTAGCCACGCACAAGTGAAGTGCTATGTGTATGAGAAATATTAAGCAAGAAGATTCAGTGTCCAAAAGAACTTTAAAATATGTGAATTATTCTATAAAGCAAAAAAGCTGTGTCTAATAAATTATGGAGATTTTTGTGGTAAACTTTGTTATTGGTGATATACCAGGTTCTTTATAGTCTCTGCTGAACCAGTGACATAGTGGCCTGTTGTTGGTCATTGCTTGACCACCTGGTGACCTAGCCATCCCAAATCTGGGAGAAAAGTGAATGTTGCTTTAAACTGAATTCTCCATGTTGGCTTAGTCTTCTGTGGTTGGTATGTTGACAGATAAAATGTTTTGGCAAAAGGTGCTAATGTCAAGGATGATATGAGTCTTTGATATATAGTGGGGGGTGTTGCAGCTCTTTTACAGTCCAAGTATGGCTCGCGGAGCGCCCCCCCCCATTCTCCACCTACTAGATGAGGGGGGAGGGGAGGGAGCTTGGGGCTTCTGCCTTGCAGCAGGGCGGGGAGGTAGGGGCTTCTGCCCAGCAGGGAGGAGGGGATCGGGGCTTCAGTCCCACCTGCCAGGGGCACACCTGCCAGGGCTTGTGGCTTCAGCAGGAGCAGGGCTGAAGTCCCTGAGCCCCAGCAGGCGCACCCTGATTCTCGAACTTCTGAAGATAGTCGTATGCGGCTCAGAGGGTCAGTAAGTTTGGCCACCCCTGATATATAGGCACTCAGGATGGAACTGTCCATAGAAAGTTGTGAAGTTCCCCTATACGGTAGGTGAACCCAGGCACGGTTCTCTTAACAACTGCAAGTTAAAGTACTCTTTGCCTGGATGGGCAGTGAAACCTTTTCTGCCTGTTTCCTGTGTGTTGCAGAGAAGCTGCACAAAAGGAAGATTAATGGTCAAGCCAACTTTTGACACCATATGGTGCTAAATGAGCAGCTTTGCATTTACCAGGAGTAAAGCTCAGGGGCTGAGGGAGGAAGAGGGAATGTTTTAAGCAGACAGTCCGTGAGAGACAGAGACCAAAAGACAGTGACAGTGGTGCATTAGTTGAAGTTTCTGCAAGCGGCAGTTGCCTATGTACAGTCTGTGACCCCACCTCTGTTCAGGGAAACAAGAGTTATGAGCATTTTTTAAAGAAATCATATTAGAAAATACATTGACACTCCATCACCAATTTCTCATCAAATGAAAAACTGACCTGCTGCAAAAGCCCACAAACATTAGCAGCAAAAGGGCAACAACATAAAGCTGTGTTATGTCCTATGTGGTGGCCAATACAAAGAGTAGAATTTAGAAGTGGTGTAAGCTTGTCCTTGTTGATGAAGCTTCTGTACTTGGCCACTCTTCTTCCCTTCCGTCAGATTGCCCCTGACAATGCAAACAGAGCCTTGGTTCAGCCTTCACACCTTATTTATTGAAAATCCTAATGTTTAAAGCTTGTGTGTCATTCTCTTCTCTCCCTTGGGGACCAATATTTCTAGGGCTTTGTTCCCTGATGAGATCACCCATAGAGTGGCTTTGTTTCCCCTTCCCTTCATCATCACAGAACAGGCCAAATGGAGTAAACCAGAGATTAAGAGGTGCTTTGCACTCGAGGAGACTCTCTCAGGAGCCACAGAAGGGTAAAGTGGAGCATTTTCATAATTGCTCCCAGTACCAGCCCATGGACTTTTGTTCTGCCAGAGAAATGTAGTCCAGTTGTCTTGGACTAGAGGGAGAGGTCAGTTCCAGAAAGGAAATCCAGTAACAAATTTTCCATTTATGGACATATCAGAAGGTGCCTCTTTGTACTGTATCGTATAGATTCTTTTCAAAATGGATGCATGGATTCATTTTACAGTACCTTGCTTCAGCACCATGAGAATTTATATTAACTAGCTTTTCATTAGCTGCTACTGTGGTACAATCTGTTGGAAAGTCAGACTTATCAGGCTTTCTCATATGCATAGGGGATTAGCAGGATGGATAAGTTCCATACTCTAAACAGAGTTTATAAATGCAGTTTCAATGTCATAATGAAGAAGTTGCTTAGGCTGTTAACGAATGACAGAGCGCTTTTTAAGTGCTTAATGTGCTGCAGTTATTGACGTAGACTGAAGCAGCTTATCGAAAACCTTGACATTTCATATAGCTTTACTTCTCCAATTCATATGGAATGAATAAATTAGGCAAGCATTTCACTTGTTCTCGCATTTAAAAAGTGAGTCTTCCATACTTTTTTTTGTGATGTTGCCAGTCATTACTGCATACTATATAAATTGGAATCTTATCTAATTTATCATGTCAAAATTGGCATTTGACCTAATTGTCTGTTGCTGTGAAATGGCTTTAACTCTGATACCTTCTGAAGGAAAGAACTTTTCAAATATGAACATGACCAACTAGAGTTAAGAGTTCTTTTTCTTTCTTTCTCTCTTTTTTTAATGAATTTAAAATTCTGGAAAAAAAAAATTAAGGTGAGAAATGTATTAAAATGACTTGTTTATAATTTAGGGCACCAGCCTAATGAAACTTTTATAAATCTATCTCACAAAAGGCAAAATAAAACTAATCATGGGTAAAATTTTCAATGGTGCCTAAGTGATTTAGGAGCCTATATCCCTATGTTTCAGTGAGATTTAAGCTCCTAATTGCCTGTGTCATTTCTGAAAATGGGACTAGGTCAGGGTTTCTCAAACAGGGGTTGCCGCTTGTGTAGCCTCTGGCGGGCCGGGCCGGTTTGTTTACCTGCCCCCTTTGCAGGTCCGGCCGATCGCGGCTCCCCCCCTCCCGTGCCCCCACCCCCCGCCCCCCCCCCCCCCCAAACCCCGGTGGGGGGGGGGGGGGGGGGGGGGAGGGGGAAGAGGCGCTGAGCCTGATAGGAAGTCTGCTGGCTCCACCAACCCCCCTTTACCCCCCCCAGCACCAGCGGGGGTCCCAGGCCACGCGCCGCCTTCCGCCTCCCCCTCCACCACCAGCAGAGGACCCGGGCTGCTGCCAGCCTACCCCCCAGGCAGCAGGGCCCCCCCACCAAGTTTTAGTCACAGGTATTTTTAGTTTACTGCCCGTGACCTGTCCATGACTTTTACTAAAAATACCTGTGACTAAAACGTAGCCTTACTTATAAGTAGATAACTGATAAAATTGTATCGTTGAATGAAACTGATTAATCAAACAGGAAATCTGTAGTATCTTTTTCTGTGGTTGCTCTCTCTATCTAGCCATATGAATTTTTTCATAAAACTTATGGTTCATAATAAAATGTTGCAGGATTGAGACCCTAAAAATCGGGCAGAAATCTAGTTGACTTTTTTCCTTTACCCTAACATTTGTAGGCTTGGCAGAATTCAATTTTTATTTTTATTATAATTCTGATGGATATGTGTATTTGTTAAACATTTATGTTTATTTCTTAATGTTTATTTTAAGTATGTTTTATTTTTATCAATTTAAGTATTTATAGCTGTGCAAAATTTTGGATTTAAGCATTTCTTTCTTTTTTTAATCAATTTAAATTTTCACAGTTGCAGGAAATTATGGCAGGAGTCAGACAATATGGGAATCAGACAATAGTTAATCTGACATTGAGATTCAAAATGTTAAAGCTGTATAACCATTACAACACAAATTGTCAATATCACATGTCAAAGTATATAAAGTAAATATCCTTACATCAAACTCTAATAAGTTCTCAAGCAGCATTTTTCTTGCTTTGCCTATCTGTAAATTTTGATTATTGTTGATGTAAATATTTTTGTTGGTTTTTGTGTATGTATAGTGATATCAACATTTACCGATAAAAATCTAAGCCTTCCAAGCCTATACATTTGGCAGTACAGTTCTTATTCCATCTCATGAAGGAAGGGAAAGTCTTAAATAGGATCTCAGTGTTTTTCGGTGGAATTCATCCTGTGGGACAGAATGTTAATCTTGAATACTGTAGTGATGTGTGTGTGTGTGCGTGCATGTGTGTGTGAATCTGTATGTATATGTGCTAAACCTTTTGAGGAGGAACACGCTAAATTGCCTGCCAGAATTTTAAGGTTTTTTTATAAATTGTTTTTGTGAATGACTGGGAGTTTGTGGATCATGAGCATTTAAGGAGACACATTGAATGTCGCAGGTGCGTTGTATCTTTAGGTCTTGAGAAACGTTTTTTACAGACAGTTTTAAAAGCTTAAAACTACTCAAATTGTGATTTGTCATAAGTACCATAGACTAAAATGTGATCTTAAAACTATAGTTTCATTAGTATTATCATATATTAGAATTCCAAAAGCTTGCGATCATGTAATATTGCAATGACAAACATTTAAAATTAAAATGCAAAGTACAATGTAAAAATGAAAGATGGATTATAGTGTCAAAAGTGATGATTTTAATAATTTTTCAGGATGAGCAGTGAAGAATTACCAGAGGTTCCAGTACTTTACAGAGATGTCTCATCCCTTTTGCTCATCCAGATTTTAACCATGCCACAACCATTGTGCAAAGGTATGCTACAAAAATGCATATATTTAAATGATTGTAAACATAACTGTGTGCATTCATGGTAGTTTTAAAAACACAGCAAGTTAGAGCTTGTCTTCTGTGTTTTCTGAAATAGTGACTCTGCCTTATCTACAGAAGGTGGCATTGAACAGAAATTTTTGTTGTGGTTTGACAGGCTTATCTGTGTCCCCTGTCTTCTCTCACCTTATCAGTCAACCAATACAACAAAGACCCAAAGCCTGAGAAAAACTATTAAGTTCTTTTACTGGAAAAAAAAAACGTGTCCTTTGTGTGACCTTCATCTCTTTTCTCTAGAGGGGCAGCTCAATATTTCAAGTTGAACTGAGTGCCTAAGGGTGAAAGATAGTAATTTATTTTGAGTTTGAGTTCAAATTGCAGCAATCATGTTTAATAGGAGGTCACATACAAAGATGTTAATTGCAGTAACGCAGCAACTATAATGGAGTCAGCATATAGTATAACTTGGTATAAATTCTAAATAGACACTCATGAACCGAAGTCTTAGTTACCAAAATTCAAGATATTTGAAATATATCTATATTTGTAAAAAGGACAGTTGACCATGGCGTATTTTGTGAGTAGTCAATGTACGGCCCTAAACAAGGCGACTTAGCTTTTGATTTCACAATTCTTTATTTTTACGTAGGATGCAATCCGCGGAGGTACTTAGGTGCCTAACTCCCACTTCTAGGCACCGCTGCGATCCACAGTGCTTCCACTCAGCTGGTGACTAACCCTGTAGGCATCTCAGCTTACTTGTGCAGTAAAAGCTCCCTACGCGCTTGTGACTTGGCCCCTAAGAATGTGCACTGTGGCCTCACTCTAGGCACCTGGGTGCCTGTCTCCTCCCCGAGGCCCACAGTGATTTATACACCAGGGGAAGGTAGGCATTTGGGTGCCAAAGGATATGGCTATTCTGCTGTTTAAGCTCAGGGTTAGTAGAAGTCGAGTTAAAAGACCTTGGGTTTGTTAACATAGGACTATAGCAGCTACACTCATTTGTAACCCTTGGTTAGGAATTGTTGAACCCTGGGTCCCAGCCTGGAGCTCCAGCATCTACACTGCATATGATGGCCTGAGTCCAACCATCCATTCCCAGATTTCCTAGTATCCTCCCCAAATGTGACTGCTCTAGCCCTGTCTTCGTGTGCAGTGTGGGAAAACTTGACTGTCCAGAGGACAAAGAAGATCAGAAGGATTGCGAGATACTTTTGGCAGACTCCCGTAGCATGAGTCCACTGAGTCTCTGTCTACATTGCAAAGCAATAGGACTTGAACCTGGGTCCCGGCTTGACTCAAGCTCTGCCCCTCCATCTCTCACTCTCCAAACACAGAGATGGGAGCTCGGTGAAATGTGTTATTATTTGTACATGCAATAATAGTGATATTTAGCTCTTATATAATGTGTATGTAATTCACAAAGTAAAGTATCATGATCACCCTTTTACTTATGGTGAAATTGAGACCGAGAGAGGTAAAGTGACTTGCCAAAGGTCACACAGCAGGTCAGTGGTAGAGCTGAGAATAGAACCCACATCTCACCATGCCACTTCCCAAGCTTTCTCCAACTTCTCGGTTTGATTCCAGAGCACAGCAATTGTGGCAGGACTGGACATGAGGATTCTGAGGCAAAGAGGATGCATGGGATGTGGTCTTATACTTACCTATTCCTAGAATGCTCTTGCAACTTTATACTAAAGTATTTTATAGAAGAAATGGTATTGCAATATAGTGCTAAACCTAGTGCCAGGGGGCTCTGAGTCATAAGAACAAACAGAAAATCTGTGTTTAGAATATATGAAGGTTTTTTTTCCTCTTCATTTTTTGAGAGAGACAATTTTATACTGGCATTGGATTCTGCATCATATTACAATACCCTTTCTTTGAAGTGCAGACAAGTTTAAAGTCATAAAATATTTGTACATTTGATTATGGTCCCTATGGTAAACTACAGTTACCTTATTCTTCAAGTATTTAATGTCAGTTCATCTTTTTTGCTTCAAATCCATTTTTGGGATCTAATCATATCTACATAGTATTCTTTGAGAACATTAGCACTTAAGAAGCAGGACCGAAACTTCATATATTGCCCTTCAAGTATAGTTCTGGGAATTGCATTAGCTACCTTATTAACTGTTGTACCATCTTGGTATCTTTTTCATTCCTACATTGATTAAGGCAAAATAATACCATTATAACTGTTCAGTCTCTTCATTCAGATAGTGAAAATTGATCTGAACCCATTGTAAAGAAAGAACACAAATTAAGTCTTTTATTACAGAGAAGTTTAATGGTAGAGGTCAGAACATTTACAGGCTCTAGTCACATCAATTTATTAAGAGAGGACTAAGAGAGTACACATTGTACGTGTAGAGTGCACCTGCTGTGTAGTGTGACCTGCAAAATAGTCACTGTGTTCATTTGCTGAAACAATTTGTGAATTTTAAAAACCTAAACACTCTAAGATGGGCAGAGCTGATGTGTGCTTGGCATTGTGATTAAGTGAAATTCTCTTCATATGTGTAGGGTACCGTGAATTCATCTTTACAGCCATCGTGCAGTGCACAGAATAGACAGTTCTCAGGGAGTGAATCAGGGTTGTGTAGCAAATGCGGCTGTTGTCTATAGAAGCCCTGACACATTTGTTGCAGAAGTAGGTAGTTATGTAATGTATGTGGCAGGAGACTGCAGAAACAGAAAGGGTGGTCTTGTGGTTAAGGCAGTTGAATGACATCCTTGTGAATTGAATTCTGCCCCTTCCTCTGCCACAGTATTCTTAATGCTGGGCAAATCACGTAAGCCAAACTTTTCACAGGTAACCACTCATCATAAGTTCCTCATTTCCTGGGTGCCTGACTTGAAACTGTGGGGTCAAAGCTGTAATGAAGTGAAGGAGAGCTGTGCTTTGAACATATAAAATATCATATACATGCTAAGTACTCTGTAAAATCAGGACCTGGGTGTGTTAAGTTGGGCAACCACAATTGGTAGACACTTTTGACAATTTTGAACTTGCTTTCTCTGTGATTTATTGCCCCATTTGTGAAATGGAGATGATGATAATACCGTCTGACAGGGGCGTTGTGAGGATAAATGGATTGTTTGTGATGAGTACTATAGAAAAGCCCCAGAGGAAATTAATAATTTTGTATTCGGAACAGGATTTAGATGGTGTGCAGTAAATAAGACCCAGGGCCACACACTGAACGATGAGGTAAAAAGAAATATTAACTAGTTACCCCTTCAGTTACCCCATTTTCCCAGAACACGGAAAAAGGCAGGCATCTTGTGAAAAAATAGTATGAGATTGTGTAGTTATGTCTCATAATTCATGAACACCAGGGGCCCAAATGAAGGTTGTACAGGCAAACTAGCAAATAATTCGGGGTGGGTTGGAGGGGAGGAGAGGAGAAGGTTTAATGACCAAGCCAGGGCAATCCTTTTTAAAATCTTGTCTGAAAGGTGATACCTTTGAAAGCACGGTGCCCCCTAATAACATGCAAGGACATTGGTCAAGTACTGACTGAAAGAAGAGTACAACCTATTGAATAACCAAAATATGGAGCTCAATTCTTCCTCTGTTCAGCTCGGCACTCAGTTTGCCCCGGGAATGAGGGTGGGCATGAACCATCAGAGAACTGCTTATAGCTTCCTGCTTCTTCACCAGCTCAGCATGAGCATCTGTGAAAGCAGCCTGGGAGCTGCTCTAACTTATGCCACTCTAAGGTTAAGTGACTTGTAGCCGATCATAAGGGAAGTAATGTTTGCCTCCATTGCCCATTTATAGCCTGAATCCCCCTCTGGCACCATAAAGGGTCCAGCAGCACCTCAGGTGAACATTAAAATTTATCTTTCATCACTGGATATGTATCTTGACTAAACAGAGAAAAAATCTTAGCTTGAATAGTAAATATTTCAGTTCTTACACTAAAAGTAGATTATGTATACACAGGGGTTTTGGTTAGCCTTTCATGGATTATCTTAAATTTTAATGCTGACTTCCTTTTTTAAAAATGTTTTTTCAAATATCTGTTTAAGTTTCAGTGAAAGAAAAAGGTTTATTTAGGAAAGGTGACTATTTCCAGTTTATGCAAAATTGCTAACCTTTTCCTTTGAATTTGTTTACTCAGCAAGATCTCTTATTGCAGTTGTTGCCTTCCAGCATATGACATTTAATTTGATATAAATGACAGAATAAAAAGGCATATGCCGAGTTATCAATAAATGACTTATCATGGTACTGCTAGGATTAGGGGGTCTACAGCCTTTCCTTTATAAACTCTATAATGGACTTCAATGTAGGTTGTATAAAGATATATTAAAGATAAATGGGATGATTTTTGCACACACTTGTGTTTCACCCTAATCTGCTATACAGTTAAGAAATAATAAAAGACACACTGCCTGGATATTTTAGTCATGTAAATGCAAAATTAGAATAGTACACCAATGTACAGTGGTCTCATTAATATGATTTTGTTTTATCCCTAACATGCAACAAACAATAATATGTAATTAATGTTATTTGTAGTAGATGCCCCAGTGCAAACACATTCTGCCTTTTGAGTGAGTGTGAGAGTGGGTGTGTGTTGGATTCCCAAAGAACCTATATTGTGAAAAAACTAACCTGCAAATCTAATTTTTATTAATTTTTTCAATTAAAGTACAAAAAGCATAACCACATTTTTAAAAACCCTGCATTTTGAACTACCTAAATACAATGGCTGAATTTAGCTTTGTTAGGATGAAAATGTACATACCCTAAATTCTATTGACTAGGACTTGCTAGGTCTATACTGCAGATGGGAAGTGTGCCTCCCAGCTCTGGTAGACAGGCATGCGTTAGCTCTGCTTAAGCTTGAGCACCAAAAATAGCAGTGTGGGCTTTACAGCATAGGCTAGCCATTGGAATACGGACCCAGGGGATTAGTGTAGACCAGGCCTTAGAGTGTGTCTGTCTACTGAGCCTGGGAGGCACACAT